GCATTTTATGGGGAACTACGATGTGCACTCCAGTTTAAGAACCACTGAATTACAATAAACATTGTAATTCAATAAAAAGGCTAAAAGAAAGTGTTCTAGATTCTCTAACATCTACCCCTCCACAAAAATCTGCAATCAAAAAGCTATGTAGAGGCGGGAGGGAAATAGCTCAGTGGTAGAATGAATACTTAGCATGCACAAGGTCCTGGGTTCAATCTCCATTAAGAAGAAGAAAAAAAAAAGCTCTGCAGAGCCAGAGCTCCTTAAAACCACTGCCTAAAAAAAGGCCTTCACTGTCATGATTAATTTGTGCCTTCAGTTTTATGAAAGATCCACAGGAGATCATCGTTTCAATGTGTTGGTGCCTATCCAAAACCACTGTAGAAGACATTGTTCATTAAGTTACTCAGTGTCCCTTAAATAAGGATCCACTTGATAAAGTGCATCCAAGATTCAGTGCCAGGAAAGTTTCTTTTCAGAAGGACTTGCGTGCTGCTTCTTATCCGACAGTGAAAGCTGGCTGACCTCAGATGCTTCCCCTGACGCTTGGAAGCTCAGAGCTGAGTTTGGTGCTCAACTGCTGTAACTAACTCTGAGGTCCTTGTTCATCCACCTTGCCTTACTTTTAAACGGTTTCTGATCTTTTAAAATTGTATTGCTTTGCTTCATATTCAAGTTAGTATTTCAAGACCCCACAAAGTCTTTCTGGAGCAAAGTGGGATAAAAATTCCATTTCACAAAGCACCTTGTAGATACTAAAACCTAAGATCCATGAAAACATCCTCGACTGATGACTCTATTAAACCATCTGGCAACTCCTAAGCACAAATTTACTCAATCATTCAGACACTTCTACTCAGACGTTAGACTGCTCATTAGGCTTCTAGCAGCAGCTGGCAAGAAAAATGGGGGGTGGGGCTAAGAAATGTGACCCAGATTTGGGCAACAGGGAACAAACCTAATTCTCTTCCCCAAACACTGCAGGTACCCAAGAACTAGATGTCCCGAGGGAGGCTCAGGAGCAGGAACACCCCCGCCTCAAAATGGGAACACAAAACACAATGTAAACTCTTCAGACCCGGACGGGTCAAGGGATCCCCCTCAAGGTCGCACAGCTGTCAAGTGGCGGAGCCAGCACTGGACACAGCTCTGCAGGCTCCTAAACCCTGGCAGAGCAGCTGAGTACAAGCTCTCAAGTCAGGCCGACCCGTTCTTGTCCTGGATTTCCCACACGCTGACCTGTGGCCCTGGGCAAGGGACCCAAGCTTTCTGCACCTCAGCTTCCTCAGTCTGCAGTGGAGATAACACCACCACCTACCTTATCGGGCTCTTCGGAGGAAGAAATGTAAGGGGTACAGCACAAAGAAAAGCACCCGGCAGTGATAAGAACTCAAGAAGCCAACTGTCACTATTCCCATTACCATGACTGCTACACCACCAACACTTTTCTGTTTTCCTCAGACAATTCTAAACGCACGTTGTCTAAGCAGAAACCCAAAACTTACTTTTCCATAAACAACCCCCCTTTTGACTACCACAAACACATTAGGTAGGGAGTCAAACCTTTCATCTTTTTCCTTCCGAGACATCTTTCTATTATCAGCTTCAGAAAGTTTTCGAGTCACTTCTTTGGAAACGGCATCCTCCCTCTTCTGTGCTACTCTGGAAGGAAAAGAAAAGAGGTTTCCACACGCTCCAGGATGGAACATCACACGCTCTCAGAAACACTCTGTACTCGTATTTTGTATTGGCAACTATATGGTACTTTACATTTCAAGAAAATAAGCTGGACAGAAAGTTCCAAGTTTATTACACTCTACTGGCCAAAAGAGGGAGTTCAAGAAAGTTCCAAGTTGTGGTTTATTAGTGATGTGTTTGGATTTCTGCTTAAGAGGGAGAACTTTCCAAAGTTTAGGTATTTAATATGGAAATAAAAGTCAAATGCTATTAGCACAATTTCATTATGAATCATTATAGCTCCACTTTGTTTTAACCCACAATTTAACTGTTCCATAAATTTGATAAGGCATTAGCAAATGATACATGATTTCAATTCCAACAAATAACAGGAGAGAAAACTAGGCTTAAAAAACAAAGGAGAATTAATGGCTGTAATATCTTAAAGTAATGCTTTTAACTCTACTCCAAAGGGGAATTTCACTAAAAGAAAATAATAATAATAATACCACTTGGCCAAGGACTGACCACACCACTTTAAGTTAAATGACCCACTAGTTTGAGAGCTGTACCAAAAGATAACATGGAATCAGCCAGAGACAGACTGGAAGAAGAAATCAGATCAGAATCTTTAGATCTGATGAGTCGGATAAAGAAAAAAATGATACACTCCTCAAAAAGTCTATAAGGTAAGTTTTATCAGATAGGATCACTAGTGAAAAAGCAAATTTAACATATGATGAAATACAAAAAGCTTCCCAAAGATTAGACACTTAAATTCAACATGACTTATTCTTCATAATACAGGAGAAACTGATTAGCCATAAATATGAAAGTAATAACTGATCACAAGCAAAACATAACAACTACCCACAAAGTCCCAATACGAAAACATTCAATATAACACTGACATGTATTAAAAGCTATAGGATGGGGAACACTGAGATAGGAACCTGTTCAATCTATGTTCAATTAAGCAATCCCTCATTACTAAGCTATGTTTAGTTCTGGGCAGTGAACTGAGGAAAACTGGAAAAATCAGAATGGATTCTTGAAAAGCCCAAGATCATTTAAGGCAATAGTTTCCAACCTTTCTTCAACCACGTGAGCTTCTGGGATACAAATTAAGCACAAATTTGGGCTGGTTTTACCTATGTCTCCATCTGTACCTCTCACTTTAGAGTCAAGTTAGAACTGACATTGTTAAAAAGAATATCTTTAGTCAGCTTCAACTAATGTACTTTTCCACAAATTGATAACTGGAAGGAGAAAAATCAGTTTGTCTAAAAAAATAAATAAAAGAAATGAAGTTCTGAAATTTAAAGAAAAAGGCAGCTAAGGGGGCAGACAGCTGTTTTTCAAGAGATACTTTAAGACACTGTAATGTCCATCTTCAGTTGACTTCAGAGCTTTTTCCCTGTTCTGCAGGGCAGAGACTCTCAACTCTGAACCCCTTTAGCAGATCCCAGGCACTCATTAAGTATTTCTTGAACTTTACATAAGCTGGCCAATTGGTAAGAAATGGACATGATTTACAGCAAAAACCTTTCTTGGCCAAACAGAGGTGGGGAAAAAAATACACCCACATATCTCTCCCAGTGTCAGGGCCCAGGAATAAGCTATTTTTTAAAGAGTTGGTTCTAAGCATCTCTAGGACAAATAGTCAATCATCTGTCTACATGACAATCTTCCTGAAGAGACTGAATCAGATAACTAGTTAATTTCTCTCCCAGGTCTAAAATTTTATACTCACCTAACAGAGGCATTAACAACCACACTGCAGGCTTATTACAACTCAAGAAGCCCTATCCTCCACCTCAGTGCTTTTAGAAAACAAACATCTCTCAGTGCTGAATGCTCTTAAAACAAGACAGAGGCCACTCCAGGGGCCCAGCACTCAGTCAATTGAGATAATAAAAAATGTTTGCAAACATTTTAAAATCATGCCACCTTAAAAAATAAAAACACTCACCCCCAACCTCTCCGGTACTACACACAAACATTTATTACATGTCAGACACCATGCTTACCACGTCGCATCTATCGTGTTTAATCCTCACATCCTATGAGGTACCATTGGTATCCGCATTTTATAGCTCAGGAATCTGAGATGTGAAAAGGTAAAACATATGCCCAAGGCTCTGCACTTAAGAGCAGCAGAGCTGGGACTGGAGTCCAGACTGTTGACTCTGAAGCCATTTTCTCTCTACTGCCAATACCTACCCACACTCAGCATCTTGCTGGGTCTTGAAACCTTAATAATACTGACAAACAGTACGAGTTTTGATGATATAATTTAATATTACACCAAAACTATGACTAAAAAGTCCACTCATAGCATCCGTTGTCAGTAGGTCACTGAAATCTTACTGAACGAAATTAAATGCACCATTAACTATGGTAAGGGAAATAAACAAAAGATGTGGCAAGTGTCCTCAAGAAGCCGGAAGTAGAAATGAGGAAAAAGAACATGATTTTCACTCCAAAAAGGCGAGTGAAAAATGGTATGTCCCAAAGGGGCTGAGTTCCAAGGGGATCACAGAGGATGGGTCATGCAAAATGCCCACTTCTGAGGGCCTCGCTACCCGCAGGTGACCATGCCTCATAAGACAGACAGCCCAGGACAGCAGAGGCCAAGACAGGCTGAATCCTGGAATGGCAGTTGGTGAAGAGGGGCTGCCAAGCAGGAAGACCACCAAGACCACCAGGATTTAGCTGCTCTAGCAACAGTCACGCACCACCTGGACTCCTAAGGGACCAGAACAACAGTGGAGAAGCTCCTGAAGCCCCTTTTAGCTGCTGAGGCCATTTCTGGCCTCCTTACAATAAACCCCTGTTAACGGAGATGATCTCAAGGTGTTTCTACTCCTCATCACCAGAACAGGAACAATAAGGACAGGAAGGATTTCTCTGGAAAAGATTCCTAAGTCTTGCAATAACAGACATGTAAGAAGGGTAAGAAAGGGAGATGATTCTAAATGAGGGAAGGGACAAGTCATGTTCAAAGGATGACCCGAAGGCTGAGTCAGAAGAGCTGAGGCACAATCCTGAAAGACGGGGCCAAACTGGTAGGAGGCAGAGGACTTGCATTCCAAGGGCCTGGACGAATTTGGCTTTAACGCATTCAGAGAAGAGAAGGCCACGATGAGTTGTTGGGAGAGTGACAGGATAAGATGAAGGCAGATAGAATGAATACATGTTCTTTATCCATAAAATAAGAATAATCCCTGCACCTCATATGGCTGATGTATGGATGACGCAGAGTAATGTGCTTTACCAAATGCATGGCAGGCAGGGCCCTAAGCTTTTGTTTTGAAGACACTCGATGGAGACTGCTACAGGAATCAAAGCACAGACTGTCCCAAGAGTAGGAAGTGTGGAAATGAAAAGACAATGTGCACACAAAGCACACTGGTACTTCAAGTCTCAGCAAAATTTCAACTGCCTTTAAGAAAGTACTTCCAAAGAAACAGAGCACCAAGAAGGCCCCACTGAAGCCAAGAAATATCCTGCTATCCTGAATCAAGTATCAAAGTGTGCCTGAAAGCAACCTCAAAAGGCACCTTTTCCAACTGAACATTAATTTATACCTGCTTCACATGGGACCATGGCACTATGAAACAATGAATATTACCATCTTTCCTTAAGTCCAGATGGTTTCCCAACTTTAACCTTTATGAAACCAGAGTGGATAACTGATTACAATTAATGTATAAATTTACTGTGCTGAGGCTGGAGTTTTCATCTCCAAAAGCTATTGTTTAAAATAATGATATATTTTATATGTGTGATCTTAAAAGAGGAAATATTGTAAGCTTTTACATTTTCGTATACTCACAAGAATATGTAATTACCATTAAAAATATCAGAGTTGAATAAAAGGAAAAAAAGACCACTTCTTTCATATCCAAAAATACTACATAGAGATCCCAGAACAATGCTTTCCAGAAGAATAACATTTGGCTTCTGAAATGTTAATTTATTTGGTGGGTTTGTTTTTCTGAACCCCATGACAAAGGCTAGTACATAAGTGCTCTAATTCCACCCTCAATATCCACTTCCATAGCAGGGTTAGGAGCACTGTCTCTGCTTTTCAGTTAGTTGCTACTCCTTCATGCCATTAATGTCTTCCCCCCAAAATATACATACATATATACCCCAAATAAATGCTCCCTGAAATCAACACATACACAGTCTTTAAGACATCCTACCATATAAAAATACAATACATAAAAACTTTCACTTAAGAAATATACTTACTTGTGCTTGAGAACAAATTTCACATTTTTGTATGCAAAGGCTACCAAGTAAGTGCTTACTAGGGTCATCACACTATACAGAACAGCAGACTGAATGAGATCCATATGCCATATTCGCCAGTATAACCCTGAATTAAGATAAAGGGGGGGAGGGTACAAAAAGGAACAAAACATTACCATCCAGTTACAAAGGCTTGCTGAATTAATTACAGCTAAACTTGGTAAAATACAGCCCAGATCAGGGAATCCCATACATTGTAAGTGGAACTGCAGATCTGTGACATCCAGTAAAAAGTCAGTCTCAAGTTTTCCCAGTTCGGAACGCTTGGAAAACATAACTTTCCTATTACTAGCCCATGATGAGATTTCTGCTTCTTCTAAAATGGGAACAACTCTAGCTCAACAAAATCACAATTCGGACTTCCAATTCCATTCTTCAGGGTACTATGACGCTAATTACAGTCCATCCCAAAACGCCACGTGCGGTCCCAAAGGAGAGCTGACATGCTGACGTGGCTGGTATCTGAAATCAAGGCCGTGCTCAGTGCGGCCAGTGAAACCCAAGGCTCCACAGCACGCAAACTGCACGCTGCGTTTATAAGGCCGAAAAAGAAAATGCATCTAGATTTGATGGCCCAACCACAGTGCAGCTGTGCAGTTAAGAGGAAATTCACATTTGGGAACTCTGAGCTCTAAAAACCACCTTAGCCACCAAGTCTGTAAAGGCTTTCCATCCAAGTCAGAATTCTAGAATTGCCCTAACAGGATTATTAAAAAGTTTAAACATGGCGGAGTGCGGGCCCTTGGCACTGGTCCAACCGCTCTGGTCAAATTAGGAAAATGACGTTCAGTGTGAAGCGGTTTTCCTCAAGTTACACTTGTAATTCCATACTAGGGTTAATGAGCACCTGTCTCCACCTTAACTCATGAGTTTCTCCAAAATAAGCAATGAAGTAAGTTTAAGGTTTCATAACAGCAAATGACAGTTGCGTGGGGGGTAAAAAAGCAAATAGCAGGCGATATGTATGTGTTATTAGCACCAGAAGGTCTTAACCCGGGTGTGGGCTCTAACACAGATTCGGGGTCGCCATCCCAGAATGAGTAACTCAAGTCTCCAGAACTCGGGCCCCGGAACCAGCGAGCGTACTTTTAAAACGCGCCACAGTTACTTTCCTGTGATGCCGCCCACCACTATCCCGGACTGAAGTCCACAGAGGCTACGTGCTTCCCCGAGCCCGGGGCGAGCTGGGGAGGGCGCGGGCCGCGGC